GCTGTGGAGGTTGAAAAAATAATATGTTTTTACTTGAAAAAAATATTGCAAAGGTATATATATGAATACTTCAATTTAATTATATAATTAATGTCTTTTAATCATTAGTTAATTCGATTAAAATTATTAACAATGTATCATTTAATAAGATTGATACTTTAGTAATTTTAATTCATAATGAAAAACGTTGCCTTTTTTGTATATCATTGGCTGTACATTATACACTAAAATCTCAGTTGATACTATATATTTTTTTTGAATCACCATTAACAGATACTTTAATTTATATTTCCTTATAACTATATACAAACACAAAATGATGAGACATCCATTAAGGAACATGCTATGAAAGATTCAACATAGATGTTATACCCACAATACACCATAGTCATGTTCCGGTAGAAGAGATTGTTCATAATAAGGAAGTGGTAAGTAAAAGTTTTTAATTTTATACATTAATTATTTTTGAAAAAAAAAACAATATCTAATATTTTGTTTATTAGGAGGATGCAGGACAAGAAGCCCCCCAATTAGACACAAAAAGTATTGAGCGGTGATGAAGATGTGTTGATACAATTCAACAAGACTTCGAAAAACATGTTTCAAATTCAGTAATTGTTGATACATCGGTCTAGTTCTAAATTCTTTACTGAAAAAAGTCAACAGTTGCGTATGTAAATTGTAATATTTTGTTATAATTACCTGATATGATGTAGGATTCTACCACATTGGCTTCTATTTCATCCGACACTGAAGCAGTCATAGATGCACTTGTCTACAAACTTTCAAACGAGCCAATTAATGTCGAACCAACTGAGTGTAATCATACCTCTCTAGTTAACCGGCAGTGATGATTTTCTATTTGACAGCCAGCCACCTACCCAACTTTCAGTCAAGGAGTCTGCACACAATCTTGATACAAAGACTCCAGCTCCACATAACGAAATGCCTTCAAAGATTTTGCAGTCTCCTTATTTGACTGCCTTTGGATTCAACAATAAGGGCAAAGGGAAAATAGACGATGACATTCGCCCATACACTCCATTTGAAGGATGTGGCATCACCTATCAAGTTTCGTCAGCTTTAATACAAGAGTACTCTTAGTGGATACAAAAGGGACTCCTCAAATCACATGCAAACAAGTGAGTTTTTTTTTATTAATGTATCTTTATAGCAAATCATATGCGAATAAGTAAGTTTTCGTATTATTGTATCTTTATACTTTGATTTTGTATTAAATTATTCTTATGTTGCTACAATCATTTTCATAGGAAACCATCAGAGGATAAATATAGAGGCAAATCTACTCTATTTGGATTTGATTGTATGAATTTTGTTGTCGCATTTCCTTTGGAAAAGAACTGGTTTTATACTATGTCACAGCCAAATAAATGTTGGACTGATCAAGTACAATATACACTACAATTATGTATATGATACACAATTAACATGTGTTACTCAAAAATTCAGTTACTACTTGTGTTTGCCAATTTTTACATGTATCATCGACTTTTTATCATATATTATTGTTTTATGTATTATGCTCTTTTTTTCTTTATTTTGCAGTACATAGATGCAATTTTTTACCATCTACGCAAAAAGTCAAACTAAGAAGCATGGATCAATGCATATACACTCCGTGCAACTGTTTGTTCAAGTTATATATCAACAATGCGTACAAAAGGTATTATTGCAGTCATGCAGATGATACTTTTAGTACACAAGAACACATTGCCCGAGCTGATGTTGTATCTGTATATGAAAGGTCAATCAAAGACATCATTAATGAATTTTTTGTCCCTGCTGTTTTACCATGACATCTAGTAAATGAGGTATATATTCTGGTCAACTGTGACGAAGAATTTCATTGGGTGTTGGTTGTGGTTATTTTAAGGAAAGGTTAATACGAGTTTTTGACTCATCTTTGGGATCAAGGAAAAAAGTTCAATCCGATGAGATAAAACAGTTGTCTGTGATCCTTCCTAACTACTTCAGGATAGTAGATTCTTTGATAAAACGACATAATTGATTGGGTAGCATTGAATGCATATAAAGACAACAAAACTGGTGAATTGTTGGTTCCACAACATCCGTTTGAGGTGGAATTTGCTCATGACATTATGCAACAAGAAAGCGATAGCATGTCAGTATTGTATCCACTTTTCTTTACTTACACATTTCATTCAATTTATATTGTATCTTCTTTCTGTTTGCAATGACTGCAGAATGTATGTAGGTGCATTTTTTGAATTTCTAAGCGACAAAATAAATGTCCCATCTATCCCTTTTCAAAGTGACTATCTTCGCTCAAGATATGCAGCACTGTTATGAAAATATGGTACCTATAAGGCCAAGGCGGGATACGTTAGCGAGAATGATGATCCTACAAAGCCAAGGGGTGACTTCTTTCTATTGACAGCTGATGAACTGATTAATGTATAATAGTAATTTATTTACTGACTTACAGTCAAGAGCTGAAATTTTATTGTTTTGAAGATACATTAAGTGTTTTCGAGTATTCCTCCCCAAGTTAACATGATAATTCTAAGTAATTCATACTTCTAATTTTGAAGTGTTTTTATGTCCATAATTTTTTATATCTTTTTGAAATTCATTTTCAATACATTTTAATACCTTATTAAATTTTGTTTATTATAAGTATTATACACATCACTACAGCTTCTACTACAGTGAAATTGATACAAAATTTCCACAAAATTATTAAGTACATGATACAATATTGTTTTCACAAATAACAAAATTTTATTCTTCACACCACATGGTACAAATTGTCTCTTATAAGATTGGTACAAATTACAACATTTGATACTATTTTACTATTTCATGCCAAAGTTACAAAAATATTAAGTATCAAATAGACAAAATTGGTATCAAACTTGCTCTAACTTTTTTTTTAAAGCTGATATAAACTTTTCAGAAAATTATTATGTACATGATACACAATTGCGTCCACAAATAACAAAATTGTATGTATCACAACACATGATACAAATTGTCTCTTATAATATTAATAAAAATCAAAACGACTGATACTATATTATTAGTAGATACAAAATATACAAAAAGATATTATGTATATGATATATAATTGCTTCAAACATCTCAAATGATACTATTTTTACATGTTGTCTCTTATAACTTTGGCACACATCACAACAATAGATATTATTATTCTATCACATACCAAAGTTACAAATAATTAAGTATCGATACATAAGATGTATACCAAACTAACTCTATCAGAAATTAACAATAAAAAAATGTAGCCAGAATTGAAAACATGACATTTTTCTTTTATTGCATCAGAAAATAGTAACCTAAAAGTACTTTATAAAGTATCAAATTTGAGAATTATTAGACATGAAACATAAAAGTACTCCTAAAAAGTAATCATCAAGAATCTTTCGGGAAGAAAGTACATGTTCTTCTATTGTGATCTTTTTGTCCATAACGTCCACAACAGTTCATGTTTGTGGTAAGCTTTTCATCTGAATTTTTCTTCCTCTTTTTTCTTGGTCTACCAGGCATTTTTTTTTTGTATATTGATGGCAAGACGACTTCTTCCAAAACACATTCCGGAGCTGTCCAATCGCTTTTGTCTGACATTGATTCCATTGGAACTGCATATGTGTTTGTTAATGCATCATGTTTATAGTAATCAAAGCAGTAGGGGTGTACATCTGTAATATTTCTCTTCTTGAAAACAATCATTGCGTGCGCACAAGGTATCTCATCATGTTGAAATCTACCAGATGAACAAGTTTTCCTCTCAAGACAAACAATGTATCTTATGCCACCTTCATACACTGAAAAAATAAATTCAGAAAATGAAACAACCTGCAATTATTTACAAATTAGAGATACATTACACGAATTTTCATTTAGTGTACACAACAATATAATGAGAAGTAAAGCTAGATACACAATACTTGTAATACACATATGTACCTTCATTTTCGCACTTTTGAATGCGTTTGTAATCAATATTTCTTCAAATCTCCTCCCTAATGTTTTCTTTGTATAAGATGTTATTTCTCGATTTTTGCAATTCCAAAAATTAAATAGAATTCTAGCTTCTTTCAGAAAGTCTATAATAGGTAATTGTCGTGCATCAACAAGGCAACCATTGATACATTCCGCTATCTTCGAAGTCATCATTCTCCCCCTGTTCACTGCTACATGAGATCTAGACCACCTTTCATACTCAGCATCTTGAAGATACTTCTTAACTCTGCCATTTATTTTTTCCAATTTAGCCATTAATTTTTCAAAATCATTTTTTCGATTAGCGTTGCCATTGAATAAAACAGATCACTTAGTGTAGATCTGCTTCTCCTGAAGTTTGTACAAACATTTTTCCATAGATGCCATAAGCATGCAAAATGAGGAACATTTGGATAAACAATACTTACACTCTTCATTATGCTTTCATTTCTATCAGATACAACACACATTTTCTCTCTCTAACTAAATACATCTTTAAACTGTTGAAAGAATCATGTCCATGAACAATTATTTTTCGTGTTTACAATTTCATAAGCTAACGGCAATATGCAACCTTAACATAGAAAAACACAACATTATGATTCTTTATACATAATTGTTGCATAATGTTAAATTACTATCTTAAAAAATTAAATTCATAAACAACATGACATACCTGCCCCATCGAGTGTTCTTGCCGATACAAATATCCCTCGATAAGCTCCGCTAAGATGTGAAGCATCAACAACAACAACAGGCCTACAGAACTCAAACCCTCTCATCATTGGCCTTAATGATATGAATAGATACATAAACTCAATTTTTTCCGACTTGTGCATCCATATATATGAATTTGGATACACAGTCTCCAACATATATATGTATCTTGGCATCTGTTTATATCCATCTGCATGTTTACCCCTTATCATCTCCAATGCATGTTCTTTAGCTCGCCATGCTTGTTGGTAAGAAATTTCAACATCATATAGTGACCTAACATCATCAATTATATCGTTTGGAGTATGTTTTCTTTTATGATTCACCAACTTTGGAGCTGTCACACCACTAACAAACCCAACAGTAGCTTGTACCTTACTTAATACCCTTTCCCTCAATGGACATGTATGTTCACTATTGAAGTATCTCACTTTGAATATGTCTGTATCTTTCATAACAGACGCCTTAAAATTCCAACAATAATCATCTGAATAACATGCTAATATGTAGTTGCAATTATACCATATGTATTTATTATTTGATCAGGTTTAATATATCAATTCATAAATAAAAACAAAATAACAGTACAAGATACATTATTACAAATATTTTTAGTTAAATAGTAATGTGCACACATATTAATATATCACACAGTTTAATGAGGACTCAGTTTATATTGTTCAGATACAAATCAGATAACTAATTCAAAATTCACTTATTAGCCTTATTTCACCTATCTTTCTTAATTGATACTTTAATAAACAAAGGTAACTCAAAATGAACATGATACTTTATTGTATCCACTGAACACAATACGCATATTAAACAATTTTCACCTATCCTTCTTAATTGATACATTAACAACCAGAAGCAACTCAAAATGAACATGATACCTAATACCTACAATTGCACGTAACACATGTTATCTGTGTATCATGATCAACATAATAACAAATAAATTATAAAAATAAAGAATGTTATCATATATGTGTATCACATACCTTTTGTTATCAGATCTTTTAACTCTAAAATTGAAGCTATGCTTTATTTTGTATTTTGCCATTACATCTATTAGAGTTGCCTTATCCTTGTACAATTGCTTCACTTCCACATCAGAAACATTTGTATCTGATATAAAATTTTCCACTTCCATTTCTGGTATGTAATAGGAATCACAAATTTTTGATTCAACAATGCTTAGAGCCTTTGCGTCCCTTTTTCCACCTTCAACACACACAATTGCACCTATTGTTGCATCAAAATTTTGTATCTCTTCATCACTTTTATCCGATGTATCAATGCATAGTGGATACATACCGAATCCTACATCAGGTTTCTTCACTTCTATCTACAATTTTATCCCCATATCATTCTGAATACATAATGGAGACGAATTACCTTCTACAATCTCGATGTTTTTTTTTCCGATTCATCAATATGCAATTCTGAACTAAGATTCACGAACGAAATATTTTTCCCAACCACTATCCCATCACTTCTGTATCGCTCGTATCTAACATCACTTTCACATATTCCTGAATGCCTTAACAAGATCAAAATATTCATTACAAATCTTCACCAAAGTTGCGCTGCAATTTTTTTGAATTAACCTTCTACAACTTTTTGAAAAACAGGGAGACACAATTTCAGAATTTGAAATTTGAATTTTCTAGTTCAGTAAGCGTTTTTGAATGACTGATTGGTAGATAAAAGAAACATATACGTGATTTGTGGCAGTCAATTATAATTTATGTTTTTAATTCCTTATTTAATGCACTAAACTGATAATTACAGCTTTTAAATTAATGTTTTCACCCGCACAATAATGTATCCGCAAGACACTAAAATAAATGGATTTTTGTAATTTATGAAAGAGTAGGGATAAGAAGTAATTTATTTATTATGCTATGTGCTTTGCATAATTTTTACTTATTTTAATTAGAATATATTACAGTGGTTAATTTTTCTTTTTAATAATAATTTGGATATAAATATAAGATAGTTTGAGCAAATTTTACATGGTGTAGAGAGGTTATTAATCGACTTTGAAGTCCTAGGCATTAACAAGAAAATAATATAAGAGAACTTTTAATTGTCATTTGTCTATTATTTAGGTTTGACTTTTTAAAGTTTTTCGTCGTTTAGATTTTTGTTGTAGGTTATTCAATTTAAAATGTATTTTTGAAGGTTAAAAAAAATAATCACATTATCTTTAAAATATATATTCTACATTACAGAACAAAATTATTCAACTATTTTTACATATTTATAACTTTGAAATCACCTAAAACTTATTTTATAGAGCAAGCTCCATAACAACTATTAATATGTATATTTCCCTATACATATACAAAAGAAGCAATTGTATAATCTGTTTCGGTATACATATACAACAGAATCAATTGTATAATCAAAGTTTGTATAAAGCGAGAAAAAGAGAAAGACAAAAGAAAACTGGGCAGATGAAGATCTGTATTTGTATAATCATAAGTGTATATGACGAAAATATATGTATTTGTATTTGTATATACAATTTTCTCTTGCTTTATACAAACACAAATGCAATTTATATATTTGTGTTTGTATAAAGTGAGAGAAGCGAGTGAGAGTGGCGAGCGAGAACTGGGAGAGTGACGAGCGAGATCTGTGAGAGGGGAACGAAAAGATATGTATATATACAATTTTCTCTCACTTTATACAAACACAAACACATTTTATACATTTGTGTTTGTATAAAGTGAGAGAGGCGATGAGAGACTGCCCAGCGAGAAACGAGAGTGGCGAGCGAAAATTGTATAAAATAACAAACTATTAATTCAAATTAAATGTTATAACCACAGTTTGATTTAATTGTAACCCGTAGCAAATTGTTTCACTAATATTTGTTCTCCATTTTTTGGGGGTCATTTTATTCAATGTAGTTCGTCGATTGATCACTTGAACTATTTTTTTTTTTAAAAGCTAAGCTTAAGGTATTTGAACAATTTAAGTATCCTTAAATCTAGGTTAAATTTAAGATATTTGATCAACAAGAAACTAGAAATAACATCGTGACATTAAGGATCTCCGTGATGATACATCACACCTCATAATTAATAACAATCCTCAAATATTAGTATTTAATTCGATTAGTTAAATGAAATAGAAAGTCCTATAAAAAATAATTGTCCATATTGCTCTATAGACATTTCTAATTTTAGGAGTAAAATACATTTTAATATATTTAGGGAAAATATAATGGATTGCAAAATGGAGTCCATATTGCTCTATAGACAGTGTAGCTCTTAATACTCTATTAGAATTAATAAAAACGTTTAAATTTATTATAATTTTTTTTCAAAAAAGTAAAAATATTTAGTAAAAGTTTTAAATATGTATGCATGGCAGTAAAGAAAAGTTTTAAATATATTTAGGAAAAATATACTGGATAGCAAAAATATTTAAGAAACAAATATATGAAAGTAAATAACTATGGTTAGGACTTTGCTTTAATTAATTAGATCCCAACCATTAATTCTAAACTATGACATGTGTCTCCAATCCAATCTAGAACTTGGGGAAATGGAGAGGCGCCGGATCCCAATTATATGAAATAGAAAATCTCACTAACAAAACTCTTTTTTTTTACCCTCCCTAGGAGCTCCCACCCCTTTTGCTCCCTTGGTGACTCGAACTCGCAACCTTTGGGTTGGAAGTGAGGAGTGTTTACCATCCGAGCAAGTTCCTCTCGTCATCTCACTAATAAACTCAAATGTATAATAGGAAAGAAACTTTTTGTAGAGTTTTAAATCAAAGACAAAATCAATTAAAAATTAATGAACCAAACACTTGATAAAAAGTAATATCTGCATTACTAATCCCTATATAGCTAATTTCTACATTACTAAACCCCTACATTATCTTTGTACCAATCGACCCCTTAATGCGATGATGAATTGTCATGTTCATATTTAAGTAAAGTTTTAAAATATACTTTTCATAATGTCTCATTCAAAAGATATGAAGAGGGTATTATTTGCCAAACACAAAAGTATAGGGACTTAAGTGAAATTTATTTGAAAGTTCCCAAAAATAGTTTCGAAGTTTCTGAAATGTTCTTTTCACCATCTTATTTCTGCAGTATATTTCTTTTTCCTTGCTATAATACTCCATTCTTGTTTGAACCCAAACAGACCCCTAAAAAATAGGAAAACAGAACACAAGAAGGCGCTCAAAACCCGGTGTCACTCAATTTCAACCATTGTTAAAGAGCTTTCGGCGATGACCCTTTGATCTTATCCTTCAATGGAACTTCGTCCCAGGCACAGGCAATCATTCTCTGGCTTTACAGAAGAGGAGGTGCTTTACCCATTTCAAAATTTTGTTATTTTTGTTCCATTGTATTCTTCTTAAAAAACGTTTTTTTAAAGGTTTGACTTTAGTGGGTATTCGAAAAAAAATGATCTTTATGATGTTTATGTGTGTTTACAATTTTCTGTTGCAGTAGAATAATCAAAATATATAGAAGTGTCCCTTTCCAAAATTGTATTAGAGAGCATGCAGAGTTAAGACATGGTAGTAATGTTATTAGAATAAATGAAAAGTTTTTTTGATGAGGTGGTGACATAATCAGCAATTTTTTTGGTGCACTCTTTTTCAGAAAAGAGCTTATAGCCGTGTGCGTAGTAGCATTTTGTTTTGTGACAGTGTTGAAACCCCTTTTCCTTTTTTGGCTTAACTTGAAGATTGTATTGATTTCTCTTTGGGAGTCTTCATAAGTTGTCTTGTTAATTGGTTTTATGTATGAGTATTGTCTGGTCTAATTCATGAAGATGGTTGAACATACTCTATACTGTGCTGCACCCATGGGTCTTGTTCAGTGGTGAATGAAGTGGTTGAGAACCTTGAGATGTTAGGTCTAAAACTCCAGTGGAGACAAACAAACACTAGGTGATTCTTCCCCTCTTCCTATCCTTGGTAAACAGAGGTATACCTCTTGCTGGTGGGAGATGACAAGTGTCCCGTGGAATTAGTCGAGGTGCTCGAAAGCTGACCCGGACACCACGGTCATAAAGAAACAAAAAGCTCTATAGTGCCCTGTGGAAGTGAACAAAGATTGATGTAGTTAGGGTTTGTTTGGTAGCTGGTTAGAATTATGCAACCAAATGACCCCTTAGGCACTACATCACACAGTTGATTTGTTTTGCAGAGAGCGCTTTTGGTTTTATATGGGGCATGATCCTCCTTCCTCTTACCACTAAATAGATTGTAATAATAAAAAGGTGTATTAGTATAATGCAGGACAGTTGGTTGCTAGTATAAGTAAGAAGTTACGTAAAATCTAGGTAAATGCATATTTTCCTTCTACTTAATCAAAATTTAAATTTAGAAGTTGTGGTCTATGAACAGTTGTGCAACCAGCAATACGTTAAGGAAGTTAATGTTGAGCCTTAGAGGTCCAATATATCTACAAGGTGAATGGCGTATTAATATGCATACTCGAAACAATTTACATTTTTGTACTAGATTGGACAAAATAAAAAATGATCACGTATAACAGCAGATGTGAATAGCACATAAAATGAGAGAGGTTTACCTGGATGATATCTCTGTTGGCTTCTTTGGACATTATGAACTAGCCGTTGTTTGGAATTTGCAAAATGATGTGCATCTGCAACTTTAGCAACACATGTTGGAATTAACAATTTTATTCAGTTACTCTCTTGTAAACTGCAATTTTTTCATCATCTCTTGTTATTCAAGCAGATTGAGGAAATGGAGAACGAACTTAAGCAATCAGGAGAACAAGATTTTGACCAACATGTCTGCAAGAAATTGGCAGGGGTTTTCAGGTGAGTTGCACTTTCTGCATCAAGTTTTTTTTCTTGTTGAATAATCAACAACAATATTTTGTATAAATTTGTCTTTTAACACATTTTTGACATTTTTGCAGCCACTCTAAAGGTCGTGCAGGAAAACCGAGCGTGAAATGGACTGAGGTTCATAGTTCAATGTACTTATTCCCGTATCTGATATTCTTGGTTGAATGTCCTTGTAGAACTAAGTTCTACTATTTCACTTGAATTTAGGTCCAAACTTGGCTCCAGAATAGGCAGAAATGCCGTCTCTCAAAGTATAATTCAGCAGAGTCCAACAGGAAACTGCCTGATGTGACGGAAGAATGTGCTTTAAAAGAAGAAAATCAAAGATTTCATATGCCTGAAGGTGTCTTTTGATCTATGTTTGCCATGAAAGTAGATATCTGACATAATTGTTTTTAATGAAACATTGTTTTGCGGGTAGAGAAATTCCCTTCTACATCTATTTACTTCCCTG